GGCTGCCCCCGGCCACAGCGACCCCGGCCCCGCGCGGGGTTCCCTTCTCCACCAGCGGAAGCGCTCACGGGGAAAACGCGTCCCTGCATGGGGACACACACACACAGATGACTTTATTTTCTTTAAAGGTGAATGGCGGTTTCTTCAGCTCTTAATAACGTGAGCTCCTGAGCTCGAATTTCACGGTTGAGAGGACAAGTCGGTTTTGTGTCGGGCTGGTTGGAGATGTGCGAATTCCCTTCTCTCCTCCCAACCCTGGAACTTCTGCCTCTCCAAGGAACCACCCCCAGCTCTGCTCTCTGGGGAGGTACTTCACACGCCGAGTCCAGGGATGAACGCATCTCCCTGAGCGCCGCGTCCCGGCAGGGGTTTAGAGCTCGTAATAGTAACAAACTCTTTCTCCAGGTCATGTAGCAGACATGCACTGTACACTGCTGTTTATTACAGTACACTCAGTACACTCTGTTGACAGCCAGTGACAAACATGAGATGTTTAAAATAGAGAAAATAACTGCAGAAAAATCCATTTCGAAAAATTATGCAGGTATTAATTCTCCCAGAAATTGGTTACCTCTGCAAACAAATCTTTAAAAAGACAAACTGTTGTGCTTTGCTGCTCTGAAAACTTTAATGCTAATTATCAAATATCTGGACTAGACCCTATATTCAGTTCAAATGCAAAAAGCTCCAAGTCACCCTTTATCATTTAATTTAAATTACTTAGTAAAAAAAATCCCACTTCTTAAATTGATCCCAATAAATCCAGAAAATGTGCAAACTTTATCAGAATGCAATGTTTCAACTAAACACAAATTTAAATTGCATTGAGAAAGCCACTAAGCATATTCAGGTTAAAAATAAAGTCACTGAGATTTGAGTAATTAGGTTTTCCCCTTTCCTTTCTAAGCTATCACAGGCTTGAGCAATCCTTCAGAGCAGACCAGAATGAAAGTTAAGTCATCTTTGGTAGTCTTAGTTTTAGAGAAAGTTTAACCTTTTCTTTTTTCTTAACTCTATTCTTCATACTAATATAACCTTTTCCCATGAAAGTATTTTTACTAATTATTGCTAGGAAGGTACATGAACAAAATTTTTTTTTTTTTTCTAACATGTAACAGATATCCATAAAATTGCTACTGTTACATTTTGGTGAAAGGGTCATTTATGTGCTTTGTTTAATTACTCTCTCTAGTAAACAATTGATCTGGGAAAGCCAACCATTCATTTATGTTGCTAGTGAAGAAGCTTACCCTAATTTTGGCACACCTGGAATTCAGTTACTGGGATGATTTTAGAAGAATCTGAATTAAGAGATTCACTATTGTAAATTAAATTTGAAAATTTTATCATAGAAATGAAAAATGAGAGGTTACTTCTCCTCTTGTTTACTTCGAGGAGAACATAATCACATCACTGGATATTGAGAAAAAAATCCTAGCATTACACCAATTTCCCGAGCCAGATTAAGGCATTAATCCTGCAAGTCTACACTCATAATCATGATTTTGGGCCTATTCAGCCAATGATTAATGGCAAATAAAAAAAAAAAAAGGGGGGGGAAGAAAAAAAAAGGTGTTTAACATCACTCTCAAAGGTAATATTGAAGTGTAACAAGCAATAATGTGCATTACAGTACTGAGTGACTTACAGTTTCATTTTACCTTGTCAGAGGACAATTAAAGATGTGCTTACCTGACAAACAATTTTAGTCAGGAGTTCTTGTTACAAGAAGTCTTAATTCTTAGCATATCTATTGAATAAAAAAAAATCAAACGTATGCAAAAACAGTGATCCATTGAATTCTCATACATTAAGACTGTACTTTAAAGTGGGAATTCAGATGCCGAAGAAAATCTTCCTTAGACGTTATAGATGGTGGGAAAACTTCTCGACAGAATTCACATATTCCACACTGATTCAGTTCAGAGTCTGTATAAGCCTGTGCCAGCAAATCATTGTCTTGAGGCTGCCAAACAAGCTAAAAGAAACAGAAAATGATTATTGCTATAGTTTATAATGTGGTTTACATTATGCTGTGGTTTATATTTATTTAAAAAGAATACTTGCCTCCTTAAACCAGGTGTCCCTTACACGTGCCTGGCCAGAGACATTAACTACAGAGTTCTCATTTAAGAAAAGCCAAATAGGACTTTGATTTTTGTAGAGTTCTATAAACATATTATCCTTGCAAACACTTACGAATGCCTTGGTGTCTATTCACAATAAATACTGCTATGAGCAAAAGTCTGTAATATCAGTTTGACAAATATTAAGGCTTTTCTCTAACTTCGCATTTCAGTATTTTACTGCAGAAGCCACAGTACATCATAACCATTTAACAGAACTGAGAAAACACATTCAAACCTTAGAATAAAATGCTTCCTGTACAGAGTTAATATGAGTTATATTTTATTTCTATTATTATTGACACAAAACTAGTTTTCAGTTTACTTACAAAATGACTAGAGCAATATCATATGGCTTAAGTTACTTATTTGCTCTGCCTGCCTTTTAGTGTAAATGTGTCTCAAATAATCTGTTTTGGGATTCCTTCTGCCATGACTGTATCAAACTTAATGGGACCATCTGAACATCTATCCATGTGTTCAAGCAATT